TTTTTTTTTTTTTTAGTAGTTTATAAAAATGTGGGGGGTGTTTTGTTGTAAAATTGGCTTTGGCAAATTCTTCTTCCACCAATCCATGGAGAAACTCCTTTTTCTGGTATGTCTGTCTGGTCTGGTCTGGTCTGGTATAGAGAGGAAAACCAAGAAAAGGGGCAGAGAGACAAAGAAGGTTCTTGGAAGACGAGAAAGAGAACGGAGAGAGAGGAATGACGGAAGGGGACGAATCTAATCTGATTTGTGAGAAAGGCTAGAAGAAGAGAGAGAACAATGTTTGTATTGTGTGCCTGATGTATATGGCTATTGGAAACAGAGAGGGAGAGAGATTTTGTTTAGTGAGAGGCTGCTATGAAAAGAGGGAATCTGAGATTTAGAAGAGGTGACAATATATGTGCGGTGTGGTCCAATGGAATTGGAGAGGAAAGGAAAGCATAGTTGTCATTTGAACCCACCCCACCCCAACCCGACCCATCCCAACCCAAAGTTTTGTATTTTGTTTTGTATTTTTTGGAGAGGAAAGCACAATTTAGTTTCTTACTTTATTTGATCCCCAACCCCAACACCAACTACAAGATGGAGTGTGTGATTGTATTTGATGCGCCTGAAAATTGGGCATCCCCGTTCATGTTTGTTAACACAACAATTTAGAGGGAGAGGGAGCTTATTTCCGATGGAGTCTGCTACCATTATTCCTACACCGAGTGGCTTCTTAAGATTTGTGCAACTGATGGGTGGTCTTTCGAAATGGAGTTGTATTCTTCTTCTTCTTCTTTTTGGTTATTAAANAGGGAGAGGGAGAGGGAGCTTATTTCCGATGGAGTCTGCTACCATTATTCCTACACCGAGTGGCTTCTTAAGATTTGTGCAACTGATGGGTGGTCTTTCGAAATGGAGTTGTATTCTTCTTCTTCTTCTTTTTGGTTATTAAATACAATTCCGCCACGGTTCTCTCTCTCTCTCTCTCCCTCCTCACCAAACTTCATGATTTGTATGCTTTATTGAATTTGTCGAGTTGGGTGGCTATCCATCCCAATCCCAATCCCAATCCCAATCCCAATCCCAATCTGAGTGACTATTCATTAAACTAGCTAGGCTGATCTTATCTCATCTCATCTCATCCACCCCTTTTTTGATGGATCCATAATTAAAGCATTTGATTTGAATCTAACTTCCAAAAAGGCTTTTCATNTTTGTCGAGTTGGGTGGCTATCCATCCAAATCCCAATCCCAATCCCAATCCCAATTTGAATCTGACTGACTATTCATTAAACTAGCTAGGCTGATCTCATCTCATCTCATCCACCCCTTTTTGGATGGATCCATAATTAAAGCATTTGATTTGAATCTAACTTCCAAAAAGGCTTTTCATATCAAGAGTCTGCTTGCTCTTACATACGACATGTTTCTCTAAATAGGAAAAAGAGCTGAGAAGGGGTGGTTACTTAGGAGTAGGATTGTATGTACCTTCTTTGCTGATGAATGATTGATTGCTTCCCCCCATATTTTTAAAACAACACTCACTAACTATATTTTGTTAGACCAAAAAATCGTACAATACACAGAAAAATCATNAATGTTTCTCTAAATAGGAAAAAGAGCTGAGAAGGGGTGGTTACTTGGGAGTAGGATTGTATGTACCTTCTTTGCTGATGAATGATTGATTGCTTCCCCCCATATTTTTAAAACAACACTCACTAACTATATTTTGTTAGACCAAAAAATCGTACAATACACAGAAAAATCATCTCAAGTTTGTTAATAATTAACTTGTTGTCCATATAAATTTCAAAATTAGAATCTTGATGTTATCATTCACTTCACTGTATAAATATTATTAATTACTTTATCATAATGACGATGACTATTAAACTGTTTCAATAACTTTTTTACAATTATAGACGACTCAACAAATTCCACTAATCTCTCTCTTATTTTCTCTCCACTTAAATTTTAAATTGTATAATTAAAATAAATTATTATTTAAAATATACAATTTTAGGTATNATAACTTTTTTACAATTATAGACGACTCAACAAATTCCACTAATCTCTCTCTTATTTTCTCTCCACTTTAATTTTAAATTGTATAATTAAAATAAATTATTATTTAAAATATACAATTTTAGGTATTACATAGAGTCTTAATGCATGGGTTATTACTATTTCATTTCATTGCTGCTAATTCTTCTTCTTCTTCTCAAAAAAAAAAAACTATATTAATCGCATCAAAAAATGGTCCCATCAAATCGGGAGCTAAAAGTTTTGATCATATGTAGTCCAGCTCCATAGGTTGCCATTAGCCATTAAGGCATGAGAGACCCCACATTTTGATTCTTGGCACCTTTAGTAAGGGTCTCACATTTGGGCTAATTAAAGGGCTGCTTAAAAACATAACATATGAGAATGAAAATAGTTACAGATCTTTTTGATATGAGACGTTGCTAATGCTGCAGAAAAGGAATTAGACTTCTTATTCGTCACTCAATTTCACCAACTAATCACTTACTTAGCTTTGTCATCCATTTATTTGTATATGTGCATATGTAGTAACTGGGATTGGATTACAATTTGATTTGATATAAATAAATTCAAATTTGAATCTACAAAGTATAATATTGGTCGAATTCAAAAGCAATTAAAAATAAGAACTTATAATTGACCTATTTGACTTGGATTCGGATTTGACTTGTGACAAAACAAATACAATTCAACTTTAACCTAGCTAGAACATTTATTAGTTTGTTGTAGTGTCACTTGCCACAATTTGAATGAACGGTATTTGTGGTGCCACAATTCAATTCAATTCAAGACTCTATCAAAAGGCTTGGCCCGGGTATTTCATTACAAAAACCTTATTCTAGTAGAATAAAATCACATTTAATAGTAAGTAGTCACAAAAATTTTACAGGTATCAAAATTATCTTATTTGATGAATGCAAAATAAAAAAAAGTAGCCAGCCTACTCTTAATAGAAGGTAGTAAGAAGAATATTAGCTATGATTTTGAATAATGATGATAAGCTTATTATTATCATCAGGATGGTAGAGTAGGAGAGTAACTTGAAAACATTAAGTGCCTTAAATACCAGGACACATATCCCATCTTTGTAGTATCCATTCTAGAATGTACGTGCCTATAGGTGTCTAGAGCNGAAAAAAAAGTAGCCAGCCTACTCTTAATAGAAGGTAGTAAGAAGAATATTAGCTATTATTATCATCAGGATGGTAGAGTAGGAGAGTAACTTGAAAACATTAAGTGCCTTACATACCAGGACATATATCCCATCTTTGTAGTATCCATTCTAGAATGTACGTGCCTATAGGTGTCTAGAGCAACACAGAGACAATTGAATTGCCTCAGAATTGTGTGACATTCTATGAAGGAACTATTCTATTTTCATGGTATGGTTATACCCCCACCCATACCCATTATTTGTAGCTGACAAAAAACTTGTTGCCCCCTCCGCCCAGGTGGCACTGTTGACTCTTGGTCTTTGTGCTCGTAAACAGTTTCAATACTGACTATTCAATTGTATGGTTTTCCTAGGAGAGTTGGAATGGTGATTGTATGGTGAGTGACGATTCAATCCCTAGTTAGCCGCCACTAGGTGGCTCCAAGTCGACAACGCATCTTGATGTCGTGCCTAGCCTCACCAGTGGGACAGACAGAATGCATAATTTTAACAGCTACTATACGCACCAATGGGCAGTTCTTTCAACTGGTAAATTACAGATATGACTGAGAAAAATCCTCACAGGAACCAATCTCACCACAACCAATCAAATATCACCTTAAGACAAATTTTAAAACTGAACTTTAGAAACTCCCGGGTAGCAAAGGTGTTGCATCTTTTTTCGTTTTCCCTTGATCCACACATTCACCTCATGTTTTATAATACTTTGTGCCTCCTCAGTGCTTACTTAAAAGAGGCAGAATTTATTAAAAACAATGAGGGGATTATGCCAACTCAGTTAAGCAAAACTGCAACAAAGCATTTAACAATAAACAACGTTATAGTACCCACATATACATGTATGTAAGTATGTATGTATAAGCATATACAATTAAATGGTTATGCTCAAGAGCTTCACCACTATCAGACAAACTCTGCAGCACCAAAAAGCAGTCACCCATTGGCTAATATCACCATTCCAATGATACATATTGAGGTCAGCTCATGCAAATATGATTTCAAACTTAGATGATAGCGTTTGCATAAGAGAGGTCATTCTGTCTAACCTGGCATAAGGAAACAGTTTCTTTTTTTAAATTGTCCTGCCTCAGGTGCCAAGATAGGGTCCAGGGGTAAAGATTGGTGGACCATATGAGTATCTCCATTCCCCACACGCTAAGCATCTCTCAACTTCAACACTGTTATCTAGGGTACAGAATTTGCAAGACCAGACCTTCAACTTCTTAACTCCATTGCCTTCATTCTTTGGAGATCCGCAAGCTTTGCATATGAGCACCAGTGGCTGTAACAACATTTCAAGAAAGAAAGAGAGAGAGAGAGAGCTTTCATTCAGGACATGATGAAAGAGTACATTTGGCATTTCTCAAAACTAATGAATAGCTACACTACACTACACTACACAGTATCCCAAGTAGAAAGTAGAAACCAATCATCCATAATGGTACTGCTAAAGAAAACTTGAGACATTCCCACAACCTACTATAATGCCACAAAGATTTCACAAAAATATAAATTAAACTTTTGATACTAATTTGTAACAATTAAACCAAAACTCCAAGCCTTGTTTCCTTTTTCCATTCATAATCAACACCCCATACTCTTGAGAAGGCATAATATGATTGTTCTATTGCTGTAAATATATTTTTCGAGTTTTCAACTAAGAAACAAAGAAAGGATAAAAAGAAACAACAGAAAAAAAAAAATTAAACACTTCATAAGACATAGACACATGACTACATTGGGTGGCAAACCACAACAGCGATACAACAGAAAGCCCATTCCCAATAGTAATATACCAACTTCAATGGATAAAATACCCTTAATCTTTTTCCCCCTTTGCAAAGAAAGCAAAGGCTTGATAAACTCGACAAACAGTTGAACATAAGTGATCCAAATGAAAATTGTCCTTTAAGTGTAATTTTGGGATTTGGCCATCGACATGATAAAATATCTAGGACGCACAAACAAGTCTTCAATTTGACCCAAAAATTCAAGAAGTTAAGCAAGATTAGATGTGTTTAGCGATTATTACAATGATAGTGTTGCAAATTCATTATTAAGGATCGAGGTTGAAAGGTGAGATGAGTGATGCAGGATCTATTGCAATTTCTCAATCATAGTTCTAGCATTCTTAATTGCTCTTAATTCTGACCGGGAAAAAAATACTTGGAAAGTTTCAAAAGAGCTGGATCAAAGAAATTACTAATAAGATATTCACGAGTTTTCGATATTTCAGTAAGACAAGACCAAGACACGACTTCATAAGTTTACACATCAAGAACCATGGTATTGGTGAGAACTGAGAAGATAAACATGTCCAAATGCATCAGCATATTGACATATTGGACTATGATCAACCCTTTGGTGAAAAGCCTGATTGGCTACGTATTAATATTCATAATATAAAATAGAGAAGGTTTTAATAAATCTATCCGATGGTCTCAAATAGACTCATCTAATGACCATCAACATTCCTCTTAAAACCATTCACATTACACCGTGCCTTCACGCACAGGTTACCCCTAGTTATTAATATAAGAGGGAAAGGGTGGTGATATAAAAATCTTATGAACCACTGGAGGAAGCGCAGAAACTCTACCCGGTTTAATAATGTACAGGTACCACAATGCCACATCGCTTGGACATCATCTGCTCCCTGGCTACGAATGGGTACTTGAGCTGAAGTTTGCATAGATCTGTCCTCCAACACTCCAGATGCGTTGGAGCTTTCAGAAGATCCTTCATTATCCAAAGATTTGGAACCACACCATACATCATCATGCAATCTCCTTTCCGCTGCCATAGCAGCAGCTTGAATCGGGCTCAGTGCAACCATAATGCTGCAATCACCACCAATACGCTTGGGCCCAGATGGCAACAAAACTCCATGCCGTGCTCTATTTTGTGCAGCAGCTAGGGCATTCTGGCGCAGAGATGACAAAGGAGGTTGACGGGAAAACCCACCCAATCGTCTCCCAGGAAGATCAAATCCTTGCCCAGTGCCGGTAATCCCTTTAGCCAATAGATCCTCACATTCCTGCAGAGCAGACGAGTGAATCAAGTACTTAAAAATGTCTAGGAAACCAGACATATGAAGAAAGTACACAATTTACAAGGATGGATTACGCAATACAATGACAGTTTTCATGACAGGAATTACCCTATGGAATGCAGACATAACTCAATATTGTCAGTGTAAACAAAAGCCTAACATGAATCAGACNAAGTTTTCATGACAGGAATTACCCTATAGAATGCAGACATAACTCAATATTGTCAGTGTAAACAAAAGCCTAACATGAATCAGACATTAGAGCACACAACTCAGATATTTTCATATATAGCTGTAGCAATATAAAGGAGGGAAAAGTGAAAATAAACTGAACCAATTATATATCCTAAACTCCCAGTTAGTAAAGGAGGGAAAAGTGAAGAGAAAGAATTGCACAACCTTACAAGCTAATTTTTCACAATTTCGTTAAGAGATTCTTACTAATTAGTGCAGCCAAAGACACTTATGAAGCTTTAGAAAAAATACTGCCAAGAAAAAGCTTTTATGGGGCTTTAGTACCTATGGGATTACTTAGGGGTACTAGACTAAAATGGTCCGTATACATGGAATTCTTCCAGCGCTGACCAAGCGAGGGATAGATTCCACCGCTACAAAATCCAATGAGTTTTCACCAACCTTAAAACTTCAAAGCACTTAACTAAATACTAACTCTTAGCCCCATCACAGATTGCTAAGTGATCTACCCTAGAAGGAAGCTTCACATAGTGGAAGATCCAAAGTCAGTACTCAGTAACATAAAAATAATGTCAATCACCAGATGGTTATCATGGGTAACTGCCAGAAGAACAAGAATGATACATGGCTGATAATAATGCTGGCAGAACTGTGATAACTGTTTGTTATCCGTTTATCTTTTTTCTGCTCAAAAGTAATTTTTTTTGGAACAGTCCACTAGTTGGCCTGCCATCTACGAAGAAGGGNGGAACAGTCCACTATTTGGCCTGCCATCTACGAAGAAGGGAAGAAAGAAAAGAGCACACACCAACGGCGACAATTACACTATTTCATCCAAAAGTATGAACAAGGATAAACCAATAACCTTTCTGATTTCATCCAAAAGATTGTAGAAATCAGCATTGTGAGGGCCATGTTCATTGTGGCAGAGCTCATGAAGCATAGTATCAAGAACTTGGTTGTAAGGGAAGAAATCCCATTCATTGTTTGGCCTCCGCAGTCTAAGCTTAACCTCTTCACCTCCTCCTATGTTCAGCCCCAGAAGAGCAGGATTGGAAGGGCTGCAAATAAAAATTCCCGAGGAACATATGGACAATGCATGGGCAAAATAAAATGTAGGACACCAGGTCAAGGAAGTGAAAAGCATAATCATTACCAAAATTCAGAAAGGACCTTGACTTTCCATTTACGCTTGCGCATGATGGGTTGCACCTGTCTTGCAACATTTTCAAGAATTTCCCTTGCCTCATCTTCTCGAACTTTCTTGAGAGGCTTGATTTCCCAGACCTTGTTAAGATCATTGAGATCCATATGGATTGGGAAAAATCTGAGCCAAACTTGCAAGCAGAGACTGAATGTCGATCTTAAGTCCTACACTTTGATATAGACTTTCCTATCAAAAAAAGAAAGAGAAAAACCTTTGATATAGATTTGGCAGGAAAATAGCTGAGACCTAGAAATAACTGACATATTACGTCATCAAGAAGGATATGCACGAAGGCACAGAAGCTACATCAGAAACAGGCAGCAATAAGATATATCCTTTTCTACTTGCAAGGGTTTTGCTCAACTGTGAACTGCCTTTCCTCGCTTAACTCTTGCCTTATATCCTTCGTACTAGTACTTGGAAGAAGCATGCAACAGTCAAATCTCAGCTAAAATTGCACAACAACGGGAAAGTAACATGATGTTCTTGTGAGATTGTCACTAGAATAAAGAAAAAAAAAACGTCATAAATCAAGCTGTCAATGAGACAATAAAGTCAAGTTGGAAGGGAAGGACTAGGTTTTTTCAACAAGTCTAGTCTAATCAGAATTCTTGCAGTTGTTCAATTACATGGAAATTAATTGAATTCTTCGATTATTACAATCATATAACCAGAAATATCGAATAATTTGGTTGGGAGGGCATCAATAAACAAACCTAAACATGAAAGCTAGAGATAGAAAGGAACATAAGAAATCGGAACTACACTACCTGGAGAGTAGCACCGAAACATGATCACTAGTACTATATCCGAGATGACGACACTGAATCACCACACCAATTTTAATTGGTTGCGGTTGACATGTTGGATTGATAGATAGAGCGAGGGTATACCACAATAATCAGACGATTTGTTTATTTTCGTTTTTCGTGAGAAAATTCTGGGATCAGCAATGACGTTTCATGTCTTGGTGACCACTCTAAACTCTAAAGGGAAGGGGGAGAGAGAGAGAGAGAGAGAGAGAGGGGAGGGATCCATCCTTTCTTCAGACTTTGCCGACTTCGCCCAGGTTGTTGGCCCAGCCTATGGATACCTGTGTCTAGGGCCTACTTACTTAGTGGGCTCGGAGATTAACTATAGCAGGCCAGGCCATGGCCCAATTACCTTTTTCCTGGATGGTTTGGTGGATGGTGTTGGGGGCATCTTCACATTCAAATGTCACCATATCATGTTTGTATTAATTCATCCGAATTCGTTGAGTCCTAAAGAAAGACATTTTTTGTGTTATATGTGCATGCCTTAATCCACTTCAAATATTAAAAATGATAAAATAAAATAGTCAATGTTTTTCGGTATAAAAATTGGTTGCAACCAAAATAAAGTGGTCACCTCTGCCTATCCGTGGTTGTTGGAACATGACTTTAGTTATACTTGCACTTTATCCCCTAGGCATTTGAAGAAAGAAGTAGCTGACTATGTGTCTGGGTGTTTGATATGTCAAAAAGTGAAAGCAGAACACCAAAGGCCCAGGAGGATTATTACAACCACTTTCTATCCCTGAGTGGAAGTGGGAGCATATTACCATAGATTTTGTGAGCGGACTACCCAAGATCCCGAGTGGACTTGATTCTATTTGGATTGTGGTGGACAAATTGACAAAGTTCACACAATTTTTGTCTGTGAAGACTACTTATCAATTGGAGAAACATGCTAAACTTTTATGTAAAGGAGATTGTGAAATTATTTGGGGCCCCAGTGTCGATTGTTTCAAATAGAGATCCTCAATTTATCTCAAGGTTTTGGGATAGTTTACAAAAGGCTATGAGCACCGAGTTGAGATTTAGTACAGTTTACCACCCACAGACAGATGGACAATCAGAGATAGTTATTCAAATATTGGAAGACATGTTTGTATTTGTGTGCTTGACTTAAAGGGTTCTTGGGAAGAATATTTACCATTAGTTGAGTTTTCTTATAATAACTGCTTTCAAGCTAGCATTGGCATGGCATGACACCGTATGAGGCTTTATATAGGTAAAAATGTAGATCTCCAATTTGTTAGGTTGAAGTCGGGGAAAGAAAGATATGTGAGCTAGAGATAGTACAAGAGACCACAGATAAAGTACAATTGATTCAGGAAAGACTTCGGGTTGTTCAGAATAAACAAAAAAGTTATGTGGACAATTGGAGGATAGACTTAGAATTTCAGGAGGGCGATCATGTATTCCTAAAGGTGTCACCTTGAAAAAGGATTATGAGATTTAGTTAAAAGAGAAAGTTGAGTCCAAGGTATATTGGACCATTTGAGATTTTAGGAAGAGTTGGTGCAGTGGCTTATAGCGCAGCCTTACCACCAGAGCTGACTGATATCCACAATGTATTTCATATATCAATGCTTAGGAAGTACATGTTAGATCCATCGCACGTAATTGAGGTTGAGTCACTACAAATGCGAATCGATTTGTCTTATGAAGAGCTACCAGTGAAGATCTTTAATCGAGAAGAACGATTATTGAGGAACAGGGTCTTTCCTTTCGTTATAGTCCTATGGAAGAGCCACTCAGAGATGGAAACTACCTTGGAGAGTGAACAAAAGATTAAGGAAAAGTACTCACAGTTGTTCCAACCGCGGGATGCACCAAGTTTGGAGGACCAAACTTCTTGAAGAGGGAGAGAGTTGCAATGCACAATACAGGTATGCTTTTGGACCTATCTAATAAATAAATAGATAAATAAAAAAATAGCAAATTATTTAAAAATTTAGAATTTGTTGTACATAGATGCCTTATGGTTAAACTATATATATATATATATATATATATTTATTTATTTATTTAGGTACCACGAGTAACTATAAAATAAGAATAATAATAATAATAAAAGGGGATAAAAGTGTGATTAAAATGAGTTCTCTTGTTGCCCTAGAAGTCTATTGACATATAGATATATATATTCTCTTTCCAACATCTACACATACGTTTGAATAAGAGAAAGGAGAGGAGAGACTAGATTTTTGAGTAAAGAAAAAGTAAGAGAAAGAAAGAAGGGGATTTAGAGAAGAAGAAAGAAAACTAAAAGATTTGATCATTAAGGTTAGTCTTCAAATTGAAATTTAATTTTGTATTTAATTATTATATATATATACATATACAAGATTGTAGTTTGATATAATATTGCAAGTAATCCATATGCATAGGTTTATAAAATTAAAATAGGTGAATTCAAATATATAATAAGGTGGTATTTGTGTTAAGAAGAGATTGAGAAGGGGAAGAAAGAAAAGAACGGACCAAAAGCTTTTGGATCGTAAGGTTGAAGAATATAAAGTTTTGAAATTATGAAAACATCCCCCTTTGTTTTAAGTAATTTTATTTTGATCTCTATACTTTTATAAACTCAATTTTTGACTACCTTGGAACTTGGTAATTTATAGAACTGACCCAATATGTTTGAAACAAATATAGTCATTTCAAAACAGCCCCGAGTCTTGAAAATTTTTTGAAATATTGAAACGACTCCTAAAAGTTTCGATTAAGTGTTTAAAAATCAATAGTTACTCTAATAAATCAAATTGAAATTGTATTCTTGAAAAATGGGTCTCTAGAACCTTAAATACTATTCTAGAAAATTTATGGCAGTCCCAAAAACCGAAAATTAGTTTTTTAAAAAAATTACACTTTGACCCCAAAAATTTCAAAAATTATGATTTAGCCACAAAACTTTAGAAACTTTTTTCAAACAGCCCAGAATACTTCCATACCCTATTATCTCATATTAGAAAGGATATTTTATATCTAAAATATATATTAAGTATATATATTAATGGGTGAGAAATATAAAAATTAAATATAGCATCACAAAATAGCGAAGTTAAAAAATGGATTGATTGTTATATGTTATTTTAGATTAGGTGATGATTGCATTGAGGTTGGACAAGAGTGCTTTGAATTAGATTTTGGAAATCAAACTGAGTAGTTTACTACTTCTTTTAGGAGAATNGAGTTATTCAAATATTGGAAGACATGTTTGTATTTGTGTGCTTGACTTAAAGGGTTCTTGGGAAGAATATTTACTATTAGTTGAGTTTTCTTATAATAACTGCTTTCAAGCTAGCATTGGCATGGCATGACACCGTATGAGGCTNTCTCATTAGAGGTGGTTACTATTCACGGGTCTTTGTGCTCATCCAAACATTTAACATTTTTCAGGTGAGGATCAGGGGGAGAGTAAGTTCTTAGATAGACAAAGGGTTAAAAGAATTAAAAATTTATTTTATTGTAAGTTTTCAGGAATAAATATCTTTTATAGTTTTGAGACAAATATTTAATTATTTTGAGAACTTATTCTTTTAGTATTCATTAGGTCGATGAATTGGATCACTTNAAGAAATTTTGTTTGCGTTGGGACTAAAACTACAGTTTTAGTGTGTGTGTGTAAAAATCATGTTTATGAGATGGGGACTGGGGTTACCAGGTNCAGAGATAATACAAGAGACCACAGATAAAGTACAATTGATTCAGGAAAGACTTCGGGTTGTTCAGAATAAACAAAAAAGTTATGTGGACAATCGGAGGATAGACTTAGAATTTCAGGAGGGCGATCATGTATTCCTAAAGGTGTCACCTTGAAAAAGGATTATGAGATTTAGTTAAAAGAGAAAGTTGAGTCNGTCCGCCGCCCACCCAATGTGATCCGGGGTAGGGGTGTACAATATAGGTTCAAGCCCTATATAGGTTATAGCTAAACATTGTTGATTTAAACAAAAAAATAGAAAGAGAATCGAATTCAATTCACTTACGAAAAGTCGAGATCAAACGAGAGGGCAAAAAGGAGGAACTCTAAAAGTACTGCAAAGACTTAAAAAGCTTGCAACATCAAAAAATTGCTAGCTCTGACATATCGAAGTGCCAGAGATTTCACGCAGAGATATAGATTTTCTAGACAGAGAAAATAGAGATGTTTTGTGAGCGAAACGTGAAATGAGAACTTGTGAGGAGAAATGGGAGTGTTGTGGCAGNAAAAAGAGAAAGTTGAGTCCAAGGTATATTGGACCATTTGAGATTTTAGGAAGAGTTGGTGCAGTGGCTTATAGCCCAGCCTTACCACCAGAGTTGGCTGATATCCACAATGTATTTCATATATCAACGCTTAGGAAGTACATGTTAGATCCATCGCACGTAATTGAGGTTGAGCCGCTACAAATGCGAATCGATTTGTCTTATGAAGAGCTACCAGTAAAGATCTTGAATCGAGAAGAACGAGTATTGAGGAACAGGGTCTTTCCTTTCGTTATAGTCCTATGGAAGAGCCACTCAGAGANATATATAAACTCTGAGATTTATTTTCACACCTCATTAGAGGTGGTTACTATTCATGGGTCTTTGTGCTCATCCAAACATTTAACATTTTTCAGGTGAAGATCAGGGGGGGAGTAAGTTCTTAGATAGACAAGGGGTTAAAAGAATTAAAAATTTATTTTATTGTAAGTTTTCAGGAATAAATATCTTTTATAGTTTTGAGACAAATATTCAATTATTTTGAGAACTTATTCTTTTAGTATTCATTAGGTCGATGAATTGGATCACTTTATTATTTGTCTTCCACTGTATTTTACATTTATTATGCACATGGTTAGTTGGTTAAGGTCTTGATGGCTGGTCCGCCGCCCACCCAATGTGATCCGGGGTAGGGGTGTACAATATAGGTTCAAGCCCTATATAGGTTATAGCTAAACATTGTTGATTTAAACNAATATACATATATATATATATATATATTTATTTATTTATTTATTTAGGTACCACGAGTAACTATAAAATAAGAATAATAATAATAAAAAATGGGATAAAAGTGTGATTAAAATGAGTTCTCTTGTTGCCCTAGAAGTCTATTGACATATAGATATATATATTCTCTTCCCAACATCTACACATACGTTTGAATAAGAGAAAGGAGAGGAGAGACTAGGGTTTTAAGTAAAGAAAAAGTAAGAGAAAGAAAGAAGGGGATTTAGAGAAGAAGAAAGAAAA